GCAGTATAAGGGTTTTATGTATGTACCCTGAATTGCCTTTCTCATCAGCTTAAAAACACCCACCCTCCCAGATCAGATGGGGYAAAATGGGTAAATGACAATTACTCYGTATTTCCCTCTCATAACTCCCCACATGGCTTCATCTCCTATTTACTTCAAGCCAGCAGCCAAATCATGCAGCGAATGAAAGACATTTAATTTCCTTATGGGTTCAAAGTTATGGCATGCATCACTACGCTATCCAGTTGCTTCAAAAGCTTTTAATTTAGTTTCGTAGCATCTCTGTGAGATTAAAAAGAAATAAACAAGAATTAGCCCTTCTGTAGAAACAACGGGAGCACAGACTAGGGCCAAGATTTTGAGGGAATCCACCTGTCCTGCTCCTCCCACGGTGTCTCCAGGTTTATGCACTCCATATTTTAGCACATGGACCAAGCTGATGCTTTGATCAAACAGAGCGGCAGCTCTTGGGCCGGTGTTTTCCTGCAACGGCCCTTTCTCCAGGTCTTAATGGTATTTTATCTCCACGTATATTCAAAGAGCCAGTTTCTGTAAATCCGTATCAGGGCATCCTTCTATGGTCCCTTAATCTGCATGGCTACTGTTAAGGCCAGCCATGAATTAAGCACCTAATCCTAGGGCAGGACAGAAATAAACCTCTGCTTGCGAAAGCACGGTCAAAACAACAACAACATTCGAATGACTCTCCTGTTTGTCACTCGGGACTTTTAATGATTTAATAGGGGAGCACGGTTAAGAGTCCTGCAACAAAAATTACACCTTCAAATTAATATTGCAGCTGTCCTGATCCCTGTTGAATCTTACGATTCTATGATTCTGAGGCAGAGACCACGGCTGCTGCCATGGAACTTGTGCAGCCAGCTGCACTCCCAGGGAAAGGGGAACTCACCCGCGGCTGCTAAAGGGATTTTCAGGTATTTACTGCCGAGCTGGCACCGGCCCGCTCAGGATGAGGCAGCCCACGCTGTGGCACGGACTGTCCCGGCACACTGTAACACCACACGCTGCTGATAACCCGCCTGGACCTTTCACAGCACGGGCACAATTAAACAGTGCTGGAGAAAAACAACSTTATGCAGGCGAGACTCCCCCTCCCAAACCTCCACACGGCACCAAGCTAGGAGACAACCTCTTCCTATTTCTTTCCTCTACATTCCACTAAATTAATACTGTAGGGAAGAAAAAAAAAAAAAGCATGCTGTTTTGAGAAGAAAAAATAAAAAAACAGGACCCCTGTTTTGGTTGACCTTTCGGTAGCTATTGTTTCCATATGCAACCTCCAGGTCAGAGGTGCATTGAGACAGGGAAGCAGACGTAGAGCTGTGCTGAGCTCCACAGCAGCACGACTCCGGGGCAATTCCCTGTGTTCCCGTTATCGGACGGAGGCGTGCTGCATTTCCTAGGGAATCTGCCACTTGTCATGTAGCCCACGGGTTCCACACGTGGCGTTTACCCCTRCAGTCAGCACCGAGACTTATCCTGCTTGGCATCTCTGTACAAACAGCTATCCCAATTCACATCTCAAATACTCACCCCACACACGTTTTTGCAAGAATTTAGGCTAAAAGCTAAGAAATAGAGACCTCAGAATGGCCAGATATTGGTGTAATATTGACCACAAGAGTGCTGTACATGGGACACACTGGATTACTTTATGAGCAGACTGTTTAATTCAAAGACATTATATTACTGCTGTGGCAAGTCCTTATTATAATGTGAGATCTGACACTCGAGCAATGTAGGTATTAATGACTGCTGTGCTTGAGATGTTAGCGGAATACTTGATTTTAAAAAATAATAATACTACGCAGAGTTAAACGGGTCCATAAAGCCCTTCAGTGAGCCAGTATTTCACCCTTCCAAAACTCATCTCTTCCAACAGATCTAAATCCGCCTCCTCAGAAGGATATATCCTCTAAAGGATATATCATCATCATCMTGTGGGTATATCATCTGAGGGGGAATCGGAAACTAGGCTGCCGCAGGAATTTCAAGGGAGAGGAAGCAGCTATCACAAAAGTCTCCCTGCACCCAAGCAAAGTCTGATTTTAATTCCCTGCCTAGAATTGCTCTGAGAAACCAAGGAATGGACAGGTCTGTCTGGTGTAGCTTTCCCGGGATTTGCTGCAGACACCAGCATGGGAACGGACCAGGGCAGCAGCGCTGGCGGGACGGTCGCACAAGGACTGGGTGTTAGTGTCTCTGGCAATTCCTCAGCGAAATGGGGACATTATTGCACCCAATGGCCMTCAGCCAGGGGGACGCGACAGACACCGAACAGCATTCAAACACAGCAGAATCCCCATACCGCGGAACATGGCCTAATAAATCAAAACCTGCGGCACAAGTTTCAGCGCGAAATGTGTTATATTAGATAATAAACCTGTAAAATATAATTTGTACCCAAGGAATTACAGTTATTTAAAAAAAAAAAAAGCCATCTTGCTTTAAAAATTGCTAAGGCTTGCAAATCTATCATCCTAAAAGATGTTTTAAAAAGATATATGCATACAAGATACATTTTGTCTACGAAAAGCTATGATTTAAGTTACATGTAACCAAGCCTTAATATATACTCTCTGAAAGCATGAATCACCATTTAATACTATGAGCAGTTTACTAATTTATGTAGAGTTCCCACAACAACTTGGAGGTAGAACTGCCCATCTCCTGGGAATTCACACAGGAAGCTCTCTCTCATTTCGGGAGAAAAAGAAAAATGCAATCTCTCATTAGAGATACCCAGGGTTTTGTATCTTCAGAATTATTCCCCCTCCCCTTTCCTGAAATAGCCTGCT